CTCTCTCTCTCTCTGTGTCTCTCTCCCTCTCTCTCTCTCTCCGTTTCTCTCTCTGTTTCCCTCCATCCTACACCTCCTTTCTCCTCACAATCTAAATCGCTGAAATTCTCTCTCCCCACCTCTCTCTCTCTCTCTCTCTCTCTCTCTCTCTCTCTCTCTCTCTCACCCAGTTGATGTCTCCGTTCTCTTCTTGGATGGACTGACTCATGGTTGTAATTCTTGTGTTGTTGATTTCACTGGTTCATTATTGATGTCTGAAATATTCAAACATCTGCTCCGAATTGATGTCGGGACGTGAGTGTCTTCTACTGCGACCCTGATGCATTTCCATCGTACCGATCTGTCTCCACTAAATCTTTGTTGCTCCCCTCTTCCACTCCTCCCTTCTCCTTCCTTCTTCCTGTCCCTTTTTTTTTTTTTTTTTTTTTCCTCGGGAGAAAACGTATGGTGAAACGAAGGGGAAAAAAAAAGAAGAAAAGAAGATAAAGAAAAGGAAGAAATCGTATGAATAAGTCAGAAAAACAGGGAAAAATGTTTTTTTCGTACATGGTGTGGTAAACTCCTAAAAAGCTAGTAGGCTTTGAGAAGAGAGGGGGAAAAGGAGGAAGGCGGGGGGGGACGGGAGCGTAAATGGGAGAGAAATGGGGTAGGGTTAGGGTTAGGGTCAAGGTTCGATAAAAAAAGGAAAAAAAAAAAAAAAAGGTCTTAACGACTGTGAGCTGCACGACGGCAGGGCGGGCCGGGGAGGGGGGGGGGGGGCGTAGGCCTTATGCACACCAGACCTTTCGCAAACGTATCTGACGGAAATGGCGGCCAGATTCAGCCCAGAAAACGTCCCAATTTATGTCCTATGGTAGTGCCGAAAGGTGGGTCACATTCAAGGGCGGGAACTAATCTGCCTGTGTTCTCCTTGTAGACATCTTTATTGTCCATCAAATTATCGTTTTTTTTTTTTTCTAAGTAATTTCGCCTATTTCCTCTCTTTTGTAGACATCTTCATGACTATATAGTCTAATAATATGTACTGTTCTTTTATTTTTTCCCCCTGATGATCATATTTTTGTGCTTTTTTTGGGGGGGGGT